TTAATTACCTCACTTCTATTTTATTAATACAGAACAAAATATGCATCATCACCCTGTATAGATTTTTAATGTTACTCAATTAAATTCAGTATTCATTTCACATTTTCTTTTTATGGACTAATAGATTTTTAGAAAGCTAGGAATATGATTAAACTTGACACTATTCCTATCAGGAACCAAGAGCAAACATTTTAAATAATGGTCATTCACACAGGTAGGCCTGTGGAAACATACAAAATGGAAGCATTCTTGTTTGATCTTTAAACTCACTTTAGCTGATTCTAACATTCATGGCAGAATTAATGCATATGAAGAGCAAAATAATTTCTATAAAAGAAAAATCAGGGGAAGATTGGTTGATAAATAATCAAGATACAAAATAACACAATAATTTAAATAGAGCGAGGTTGGTATGGGACAGATTAAAATATCAGTAGAATAACATATCTATAAATATACCTGTATGTATGTCATAAGGAAACTTATGATTCAATAAGACTATATTCCAAATTAATTGGGAAAAGATGAAAAAGTCAAAAAATGTTATATATAATTTATCTATTTATACAAATAAAAATTCTCCCACCTCATGGACAATAGATAAAAATATTAGTGCATTAGAGATTGCCAAACATTAAAAAACCAAGCTTCTAAAAATACTAGAAGAAAATCAATGAGATAAACAACTCAGAAGTCATGAAAGTAGAAAAGATATGTATTTGAAAAAAGACTAGAACTTTTCTTATGGTAAATGATATCACAATCAAACCAAAATGACAAATTATAGTTTGGAAGGAATTATTTGCAACATACCTAATAATATCCTAAAAATGAAAATGCAGCAAATGGAAGCAGAAATAGATACAGATCAATCTCACGAAAAACTAGAAAAACTCTCAATTAAATCCAAATTCCATCAAAAGGGGAAGATAAAAGTAAACTATAAATTATGATTCATTAATATAACACTATGCAGCCACTAAGAAGAAGTATATCATATAGATAGATAAGAGTATATTCAGGGTAGCAAACAGGTAGAGTGCCTTCTAGAAAGATATAAATTGCAAGCTACTTTCAAACCCTGTTTGTGTTTAGAGAACCAGGAAAGGTGATGGGGATGAAGGCCTTATTGTCCATGATAACTGTCCATCTTTGGAAACAGAAGTGAAAGTAACTAAATGAAAGTCACTCACCTTTAAAATAGTTTAAATATATAAACAATGACTCACTGATAACTCAGTTAAAATACTAGCTTCTCTCAGCAGCAAAAATTAAACAAAAACAAAGAGGGTACTAATGGGGCCCAGTAGTCTTTGAAGATTCCTACAGTCTCATAAAGGAAGAACAGCCCAACCCAATAATACAGTAAATAGCAGGCTTTATCCTTTTCACTTTGAACCACACGAAACTATTGTTTTTCCACTTCCCAACTAGTCAAACAGCACTGAATTTGGTATTCAGCCTAATTCCCTTATATTTTTTAAAAAGTTTTAAAAAGATGGATTTTGATCCTGTTGAGGATATTTGCATAAGGAGATAATCACCAACCATTTTAGCAAATATATTTATTTCTTACATTGGCCCAATTCTGTATATGGAAAGCTAAATTATATAAGATATTCTATCCCCCTTACCAAATATGAAAGACAGCTTGAAATGTTTACCACTGAGGTTATCACCTGAATTTATTCATTGAGAAAGTCAACCCATTTATTAAGTTCCCTTGATTATTCTAGAGAGAACAGATCAGAATGGTCCTGGAATGCTCAAGCACAAAGCCTTATGGGAAATTATTTGCTCTAAATTGGCATTTCCTGGAAGGCATCAAACTTTGATGAATACTCTAAAAATGCTATCTATTGTAGGCTGCATTTTAGCCAGTGCTTTTTTTAAAAAAAATATTAATTTATTTGAAAGTCAGAGTTACAGAGTGAGAGACAGAGAGACAGAGAGACACACAGAGAGAGAAGGAGAGCAATCTTCTATCCACTGGTTTACTACTTAAATGACTGCTGTGACCAGGGGTGGGCCAGGTGCCAGGAACTTCTGAGTCTCCTATGTAGGTGGCAGGGGCCCAGGGATCTAGGCCATCCTCCACTGCTTTCCCAGGTGCATTAGCAAGGAGCTGGATTGGAAATGGAGCAGCTGGGATGTGAGCCAGCACCCATAAAGGATGCCAGTGCAGCAGGTGGAAGCTTAGCATACTATGCCACTGCAACAGTCTGGGGCCAGTGCTTTTAATTGGGTACTTACTAAAAAAAATGGTTCATGACCTGTGCATTTTTGTAAATTGAATAAATATAATTGTTGATATTTGTGGAACATGTATAATAAAATTCAATGGATGACTGTTAAATATTTTGTAAAGGTTATTTCAATTTAAAAGAAAAACCTCAAAAACAAAGCAGGAGCAACATATATGATGGAACTTCAAAATGCTGCATGTATTAGTTTTGCTGCAAATGCAGTGTTTTATCAAATTTTCCTTTAAATCTTTGTCAAACAAATTGATATGAACTGTATATGACTATAGCTTTAATGGTTTTGTGACTATTTTAAAATTTATCTTATATAAGTGAAGTGGAACATCTTTTCATTAGATTATTGTTTTTTGCCCTTGCCTATTTCACCACTGGACTAAGGTCATTATATTTTGTCTTTCTTGAACTCTATATTATTGCTTTTAGACCTAGCCTATTTTCCTGCAGGACTACTGTCTTTTTATTGTTTATTTCTTGAACTCTTTATTTAGTGGAGCCATTAGGGCTTCAACTGTAATGTACGTTAAAATATCTCAAAAAATAATAAACAAAATATTAAGTTAAAAAATAAAATAAATCTGTGTTGAACCACATTGTCGAGAAATAGCTCACAGAGACAGATTACACAGTCCAGACCAAGGCAATCTTGAATTTAAACCTGTTCCTGGTACTAGCTGGATGTCCAGTGGCAAAGTAATCTCTCTGGTTTCAGTTTCTTGGTTTATAAAATGGCTATATCTACCTTGTGGATTTATTCTGAAGGTTGTAAGAGAATGTATGTAAAAACTGCCTACTTAGAATTATCTGCAAAAAGCAAGCAAATAGTTTGCTGAAAAGTAGAATTAAGTAAGTTTATTTTGGTAAAAAAATTGAACTCCATTTTTTTTCATAATATCCATTTTCTATGAACCTTTTGAAGACTCCTTATATGAACAGAAATACTTTCTGGGAATGACTTAGCATTTTTTTATGGATTTGATAATATTTTTCCTCTCAAATTAAAATGGATGCTATTTTTCTTTCTGTAGAGACTTTTTGAAGAACAATACTGACCTTTAAAAAAAATCACATTGAGGCCAAGCATTGTGATGTAGCAGATTAAGCTGCTGCCTGTGATGCTGGCATCCCATAATGGCACTGCTTCAAGTCCCTTTTGCTCAGCTTTGAATTCAGCTCCCTGCTAATGCACCTGGGAAAGCAGCACAAGCTGGCCCAAGTCCCTGGGACCATGTACCCATCTGCAAGACTGGAATGCAGTTCCAGGCTCCTGGCTTTGGCCTGGTTCAGCTCCAGCTGTTGGGGCTATTTGGAGAGTGATAGAGTCAATGGAAGAGTTCTTTCTATCTGCCTCTCCCTCTATATATATAACTCTACCATTCAAATAAATAAATATGTCTTTAAAAAAGCACATGAAGAAAGTAGTAACATACTTCTCCCCCTAAAATTAAGAGGAGTTTTTATCCATTCATCTTTGTAAAGAAACTAAGAAGATAGAACATGATATATTTATCAAATACATTATAAAAATAAATTTCTCTTTACATTATTGGTGATAATCTACATCACTATCTCTTATTATTCCTTTGGTTTGTCAAATGCTCATACATGAGAGAATACACTTTCTGACCAGTACTCAAGACAGCTTCCTTGTTAAGGTTTCTATTTGTCTCTCGCTATAGGTGATTAGAGAAAACACATCCCAGTGATTTAGTTAATTTATAGAAAATAGAATCAATTTCTCTGGTTTCATCCTGACTGAACATTCTACTGAACTTTGATAAATGAGTAACAGATAAGCACTATTTATCAGATTGTTTGGTAGAGCACATAGTTTTGATTATTCTATTTTCTGGTTGCTACTAATGAAATATATATAGCACTCCTTGAGAGAAAGCAATTGCAGAGATTGGCCTCTGAGCAGTCAGGAAGCAATGAACAGTGTGCTGAGAATTTATTTTGCTCCTACACTCTTCTCTAATAGGATCTGTTCTCTCCCTTCCTCCCTCAGTGCCTCTCTCCCTAGGAGCCCATGGGAGGGCAGCAATGATCTCACACATCTGAGATGTTTTCCAGGTCTCATGTCCCAGGACCTGGCAAACACAGTTGATAGCAGCCAAGAGTCACCTGGAAATTCCCTATAATGCCCAGAACCTCAATGAGGTTGCTTAGGCACCAGTGCAGGGTGCTCCAATACCCTAGATCTGGCAAACCCAAGGGACATTCTCCCTCTTTCCCTCCAGCCACCAATGGCACAGGACTTAGGGAGGGACATTTAGAGAGTTGGATTTTTCCATTGGTGCCACCCCCATCCATCCATCACAGGTGGAGAGAACTATTAGAAGCGCTGTCCAAGAGGATTCATTTAATCACATTATCCTCCCAGGCCCTACAACAAGCATGGAAATACACGTACTGCCAGAAATGTGAGTGCAAATACAAAGACAGGTGAAATAAAGATGCTTGTGGCATTTGGATCCTCCAGAAGGAATCCTATTTTTGTGAACCATAAAGGAAGGGCATTTTATGACCATTTTACAAAAGTCAATCATTTCTATTTTGCAAAGGAGGAGATGGCAATTAAGAGGTGTGAGTTAGGAAGACAGGATGAATGACCATCACCCCTTCCTCCAGGCTTCTGCGTCTCTGCAGGTTGGGGCGAAGAAACAAAACCAGGACATTTGGGAAGATAGATGGCTGAGGCTAGAGAGCTGACCTGGATGTCACCTCCCCCTCACTTACCAAGATCCATGCTCTTTGAGGCTTTCAGATTAATTGATTCAGGCTGCCCGGCTGGTGTCACAGATCTGAAGTTGATGTGCTGGTCTGGAAGATACCCTGATGAATATACCCCACAGCTGTGGAAAGAAGGCAGATGCCATGTTTAGGTTAACAATAATATCTTGAGAGAGGGAAACAGTTCTTGTTGTGGACATATTCTATCACCCTTTTCTCTGCGGCTCCCAGCACACATTATAAACCAATTCTTGAATCTTGGGTTTCTTTTCTAAGATGAAGCAACTCTGTTTTCATGTATTTCATCATACTGCCCAATTTAAATAAAATATTCTCTGGCTAATATCGTGTTTTACTCTTCACTGATTTCTGCTAATTGGGATCCTGCTGTACAATATATAACTTTCAGTGGGCAAGGGGAACATAGAAAGCTCCGGCACTTCAAAGGCTGTCACCAGACACTGAGAAAGGCCAAAAGCCAGTTGAGAGTGTTCTGTGGGCTAGGCAAGGCCCTTCCTTTGAAAACGAGTGAAAGGGCCGTGTCCTTTGGAGAAAACCATCTTGCTGAGTGACGGATGGCTGCAGGAGTTTGGCTTTCTACTTTATTTAGTGCTATTTTCTAAAACTAGTGTTAATGCTGAGCAGATCGTCTGCTCATCAATAACCCCAAAAGGGAATAACAGGAAAAGCGCAGTTGACAATTTAGACACCAGATACATCAAATGCCTGTTGCAGGCTTCCTGCTACTCGTAGTCAGTCTCCAAAGAATTTGCTTTCTCCTGAATATACCACTTACTTTGCTTGAGGATGGAAGAGATTATTTAAAGCAAATACAATTAATGGCTTATACCTTGATCCAGGAATATATTAAATACACATATTTTCATAAAATAAATCACTGTCATTTTCTCTTATTTAGAAAGTAAAAACTAGGGCTTTTTTCAACATAACGTCTATCCTCTAATCTCAAATTCAGTGAAAACTCAAATTAAGCCTCCTTAGGAAATCTGAAAGTATTGAGGTTAAGCTTTTCAAGCAGTTGAAGTGTGATCTTTTAAAGACCAAAGCCACAAAAACAATAAATGTTTTGAATGGGAACTCTTGTAAAATGTACTGGGGAATCTTAACTTTTAAACTGAATAGACCAAAATCAGCTTAATCTTTTCTCAAAACTCATTAGTCATGCATATTTAATATTGCCTTGCAGCAATATCAAAATGAATATGCAGCAATAATATTGCTGAGTGAATAAATGAACCTCCATCATTACAAGACAGTGGGTAGATTGCGGAAGTCCCATGGCAGGCAGTGCAGCACAGTGCTAGAGCCCTGTTACTTATCAGGGGCGTGACCTGGGCAGTTCCTGGACCTCTCGGATCTTCACAATCTTTACCCATTTTAATGAGTACAATTATATTCTCTTGCTCATGGAGTATAGAGTGATAAGAGACTACAATGAATTAAGATTTGTAAAGTAACCCTCTCTGTCTCTCTCTCCCTCTCTTTCTCTGTAACTCTGCCTTTCAAACAAAATTTTTTTTAATTTTTTTTTTTTTTTACAGGCAGAGTGGACAGTGAGAGAGAGAGAGAGACAGAGAGAAAGGTCTTCCTTTGCTGTTGGTTCACCCTCCAATGGCCGCCGCGGCCGGTGCACTGCGCTGATCCAAAGCCAGGAGCCAGGTGCTTCTCCTGGTCTCCCATGGGGTGCAGGGCCCAAGCACTTGGGCCATCCTCCACTGCACTCCCTGGCTACAGCAAAGAGCTGGCCTGGAAGAGGGGTAACTGGAACAGAATCCGGTGCCCCGACTAGGACTAGAACCCGGTGTGCTGGCGCCACAAGGCAGAGGATTAGCCTAGTGAGCCGCAGCGCCGGCCTCAAACAAATTTTTAAAAAAATGATTTGCAAAGTAAGGAGACCACTGACTGGCATAGAGTAAGTGTTTTAGAAGTACTTAAAAAATAAGCAGATGACCTGTTTTTGCTTCCCAAATGACTGTTGTTTTCACTGGTCTTCGTTTCTTTGCCATCTCTGTGTCAGATTTCCACTAGGCCTATGGGCAACAGCTCTTCTCATCTTCTGTTTTGAAAATAGTGAAGTGTGATAAGGAGGCTAGAGAGAGATGCTAGGGGTGTGGCCTCAGTTTCCTCATAGTGAAAAGGACAGTAATATAATTACTCTACAATGTGCATGTAAGAATTAAATCAATTATGTTAATTACTGAGAATAGTGCCTAGTGCACAGTAAGAGCTCAAAGTTTGCTAACAATTATCCTTTTCTTTATTTTTGTAAGTTAAAATGGCCTTTGACTGAGGGCCTGAGGCGCCTGCCAATGAAAAAATTATACATGGAAAGAGTGGAGAAGGGATAGAGGACGGTCAGATAACAGGTACTGGAACACAGGTGGACTGATGTAACACGTTTGTGTTCCTCCACACAGTGGCATGATCTTAACTCGCAACAATGTATGCTAGACTGTGAAAAGAGCTGGGAGAAAGGACCTAGGAAGTTTCCAAACAGAAATGGAAAGGCTAGTTGCCTGGTTTGACCAGTTCACATTGTAATATGTATTGAAATATTGCACTGTAACCCAGAAAACTGCAAGTATCTTATGCTAATTAGGAATTTTTAAAATCTAATTTCAAAAATAACAACACTGAACAGACATGAGAGGTAGACAGGGAACTGAAGCACCAAACTTCTGCATCCTAGAGCTCTGAGCTCTTTATTCTGGATTGTGATTCATCCTCAGATCCTTTTTGGACCCCTGTGAGGCAATAAACTTAAACTTGCTTTAAAAATTAGGAAAATGATACGACTGTACAGGTTTCACGAAAATTTCTCAAGAAGTTTAAATCTACTCTGGGATTACATAGTTTGTGTGTGTGTACTTACTTCCTAGTGATAGGCAGAAGCTATGGATAAATAAAGTGTGCTAGATGAGGTAGCTAGTGATGGAAAACCATGCAAATTGTGAGCTGGGATCCTGAGTCTATTTAGTAAGGCTATTAGTAAGGCTTGGCCTTACAGCAATAGTCTCATTCTTCCAACCCATTTTAAAGGGGCAATTCTGAGATCTTTGTGAACCTGAGCTTCCCCCTGAGCCCTGGTGTTTTGGGAGCATTTGCCTTTAACTGTGTTACTCAACCTTTATTTGCACTCAGTTTTTCATCCTTTGATCTCTTGTGATGCTGTGGGTTTAGTGTCAGAAAGACTCATGGCCTTCATAGAATCAAAGAATTTAAGAGCTGGGAGGGATTAAAGGTCACCTCATCTTTTAGATAAGACCCTGAGGTCCAAAGAGGAGGACTGATTTTCAAGGTCACACAGCTGGCCAGGGGCAAAACCTGCACCACAGCCACAAGCGTTCACTAAAATGGTAGCCACCTTGGAACACATGTTATTAGGAACCTGAGTCTACAAAAAAAAAAACAAAAAAAAAACTTATCCCTTTTAGTGCAGATCTGCTCTACTCTTCTGAGGTTTTCATTTAAGTTTGTTTTTTGTTTCATTAGAGTGGTGCATATCATGAAATAAAAGAATACCAAATTGTTAATCAAAGCAGATGTTATAACATAATGAAAGCCTTCAGGGGGAAGGTTTGGGACCAACATGAATATTCCTCATTAAAACACAGATCACACTGCATTTAAAGTGCTCTACTGAAAGGAGTAACGTATTGATTAACCCAATTCATTGTCTTACTTTACCAAAACCAGCATTAACTGACATTTCAAGAATGAGACCTCAAATTTTCCTGGACTTTTGGGAACAATGACTCCTATAACCATTTAAGGAACATGGTGACCATGCTCCTAGATACAATAACATCAAATTGGGAGTTGTCCAAATAAAGTGAATTCTTAAAAAATAAACATTGGGTTATAGTCAATAATGATCAAATAAAGGTTTTTTTGTACATATATATATATATATGCTCATGTCCATTAAGTTAATCATTACACAATCATTATTGTGATTGTGACTAAATATACATTTTGAAAACTTTCAATAGATGGATATCTCTTGTTAGAGTACAAAATGGAAATAAGCCAATAAGGTTGATATCCGATTGGTTGATCTTTAAAGAGGGGAAAGTGAGTATAACAGAAAACATTATGAGAGTAGAGCCAATGAAAGTGAATAGCACACTGAAATGATGAATGCCGTATTGAATTAGCTAATGTGAAAATATGGTAGACACATAAGTTAGACTAGTAAAACTGCTCATGATATTAGATATTATGCTACATATCGAAATTGTCTGGAGTGAAAGGGTGACAAGATGATTAACTGCAAAATATGACGTATTTTAATTTTGAAGGGAGTTAGCATGTGCTCATGGCTGAGTGGGCTGCAGTGGAGGCTGTGGGAAGTTAGAAGTTGACAGCAGGCCAAAGACATGTCTGTGATAAAGGCCGTGTTTTCAGCATGAACAACCAGAGAATCCATCAAATAGAAATGATACTCAATGTCAAATTATGCTGCATAATGAATAAATAAAGCTAGCATGAAACATATGCCAATGTCCTGAATAGGGTGACAAACCAAGAATGTGAAACAGAAAGCAGCCAGTAATGAATGTCCAAGGAGAACAGTTGGAAGTATAAAGGCACGTGGAGAAGATTTTGATTGCAAAATAATAACAATAAAAAGTTACATTTGAAGCTTCAGGTGTTCCTTTTTAGGCTCCAACCATTGGCTACTATGAATGAGAGTGGATAGCATAGTTCACATCCATGAAGTAGAGACAGAGAGGAGATACAGAGGGAGACAGGGAGGAGGAGAAAGGAATATTAACATGCAGCAAATGACTAAAGGATTTCTAAATTGCTAGTAATGTTCAATGTTCATTTATTAGTAATGTGCAATTCTGACATTATTTGTTATAAACTCTCCCTGAGATCTCACAATAGAAAATAAAATTCCCTTAAACTATTTTTATTTGGTCACATATATTCTAAAGTTTTCTCTGATAATAAGTAACACATTAAAGCAAATAAATTTAGCAATTTCATGATTTCACTTTGGTTCAACGCTCAGGTATTAAGTTTGTTTTTCACTGTTCATGTGAAGGAAGTTTTCCATTTTAGGAGATTGCGTCTGCCCCTAAAGCACCCCTATTTCTTTTTACAGGGCTTAATAAAATTTTTTTGGAAGATAGGACAGCCTCCATTACTCAACCCCATGGCTCCCTTGCAATCCTTCACCAAGCTTCATACATCCAAACACAAATTCTGTAGGCAACTCAGCAGCCTACAGGATGGTGCAGGTCATTGGCTGGTGCACAGAATAGGAGAGTTTCAAGGCTTAAGATTGGACCTTTTCATCTCAAAAATGCCCCTGGTCTTTCCTGTCCACCCTTACTGTTTCTCCCTTCACTCAGGCACCATGCTCTTGCTAGCTGCAAGTCTAATGGATCTCCTTGTCTTTGGCTTCCCCAATCCACTAAACCCTTCACAACTGAAATTGCTCAGGCTGTAGTTCTTAGGCTTGAAATCCTTCAATACTTCTCTGGTTTCTGGAAAGGAATGGTGCTCACAGAACATGGCAGTCCTTCCCCTTAATTCTTCCCCCAGATCCCATATGCTTCAGACACATTGAGCACACTCTGCTTACCCTGCTATCATTTGTTCTTCCCAGCCTAAACAGCTCTTCCCACCTCTTCTCTGCCTATGAGGCTCTTTCCTCTCTACAAGAAACTGCTCAAACACTACTGCTCCCATGAAGCTTCCCTCCACACCTGTAAGCAGAAGTCCTATCTCTGGGCTCCCACGGGGAGTCCTATCTGATATTTAGCAGGCTGCATCCTAATTCCGTGGGTGTCTGTCTCCTGCATTTCTTGTCAATAGGGATACTTTCTAATTCATTCCAGTACCTGAATACCTCCCACAGTCTCTGGCTCAGAGCTCCAGAAATACTTTTGAATGGATGGATGAGTGAATGAATGACATAATGACCCAATACAATAGAGCCAAAAAGAATAGACTGAGAAAATATCATCTTTTTAATGGCAAGAAAACTATTTCTGATGTCTGAGAGAATTCCAGGAAAGTGCTGAGGACAGAAGCCCGAACACAGGGGATTAGGGAGGAGGTGGGGGGGAAGGACATGGAAGTTGTTGGTTTATACCCTGGAATGAAGATTTGCAGCACAGAGGGCCAATATAAACTTTTACATTTTCTTTTCAAGATCACAGAGGAATATGCTTTATTGCACAGGGGGGCAACCTAGGGATACATTGAAGAAGCCAAAGGCAGTTGTTAAATCCCAATAATTCTACCTGTGCAACATATCTGAACCATCCCCCTTACCCAACAGCTTCTCCTCTGAGGGTTTCTGCCTCTTTTTCCCAGGGCAGGCCTTCACTAGCCCTCACTTCACAAACCCCAGAGTGTACCCAAGGGGCTCTGGCTTCTGATGGAGATTAACCCTCCTCCATTTACCCAATCCATGCTATTGACAATGAAACATTGGCTTTTGTGATGCTTATTGTCTGTGAAAGCCCTACCACTAGATTTTACTATTCACCAAATAAACCCAGTAAATCTCCTCCTTGTGGTCTGGACTGCATCATCTGACCACTCAATTCCTATGCAAGCTGTGCAAATCAATTTCCTTTCCACCTCTACGCTGTTTCTCTGCCCTTCACTCTGAAATCCCCTTCTTCCTGGGACTTGTCTCTCGCCAAGCCACTTTTCATGATTTCGGATTCAGCTCAAATGCCACCCTTACCACATTTCTCTAGGTGGAAGCATTCTCTTTGCTTCAGATGCACAGGATTTTATCCAGAACTACTGGTAAGTATCACTTAGTGCCTTGTGACCTAGACACCACTTTTTATCCTGTAGACTACTGGATTCTTTAGAGTAGGATTTGCATCTGAATTATCTTCCCACCATCCCAGTGGTTTTACACAAATATACAGCATAACAGTAAAGTAGATCATAAGAAATTATGCAAGAACAAGCTCTTTTATGCCATCAACTGTCATTTTTGATTCATGATTGAAGCAGGCAAGGAAAATGAATGAACACAATTAAATTTGTTCACATTTCCCCGAAAGAAACCCGCACAGATTCTGATCTAGAACATTATTGTGATTGTGAATCGTGTTCATGAAGCTGTGTTTGAGTAAGATTCCTGGCTTCAAAGATACAAGAATCAGAGATAGCTAAATATAGGTAAATATAGGCTTCCATTTAATAGAGTCAGCTATCCTCTTATTCTCTTGCTTTATTTTTAGCAGACTGTATTAAAAAGCCTAATATGAATGACACTAACATTGCTGAAAGATAAATGAAGAAATTTCACAGGATTATCATGGGACATAGAGTGGAATGAAACATACCGTTTTTAACAGCCGTAATAAATATAGAAAATAGCAAAGAGACAATTTAATGATTTTTAGAACTCATCAGAAGAATACAATCTGTGAATGCCACTAGTCAAATAGTATGTATGCTTAGTAAATCTCTCTTTCTCTCATGCTTGTATGAATCTAAAACTTATTGATTTTTTAGTTTCTGTTACAGAACGGATATAATATGGAGCACCCTTTTCAATATTTTAGATTACATATGGTGTTGTTTTATTTTTAGACTTCATTACATTTCTTTGAACATTTATTTTCAAAATACCTTTAGGGTTTGCCAATTACAAATTTAAACTCACCTAAGCTTTATGTTTTGTTTTCTTTCACATCTGTCCATATAACTTTTCGTTGAGCTCCACTACTCTAGCTTTCAAACTTTTCAAAATAACCCAAACATTTTCTTAAATATTTAAATTAGACAAATCTTAACAAATTCCAGGAAACAAAATCTGAGCAATCTATTAGCTATGAGAAAGTTTCACTGGAAAGGAATTATAGATACTATGAGATTTCCACTCTAGAAAGAAATAGAGTTAAGATAACATTGCTAGGTTTTCCCAGAAAAACCATAACGAGGAGCATTTACGATCTATCATTTTATCGATACCTGTGGCTGTAATCTTCAAGGCCCAATTCCAGAGCGGGATGTGGCGGTGGAGAAGGTGGTACTTCACTCTCAGTCCATCCATCATGGGGCAGCAAAAGGTCTATAAACAAAGCACAACTGAAAGTGCAGTAAACTGGAGGCAGAACCATTCGGTGCTGGGTTTTGTTTCAGCCCAGCTCTCAGACACAATTCTAATCAAGAAATAAACCAGCCTTGAAGTAAATAAGCCCTCACAATGGAACTGAAGGATTCATAGGTGAGCAAATGCCCCTGGATGAGGAAATGAAGTGCATTCGTGTGATTTTACACCGGTGACCTGCTGTCAACCCCGGCAAGCAAAGCTTGTGCATTTTGACATTTTCCACCAAAGAAAAACTGGCACACACCTATTACCTGTGATGTATGGAAGATTAACAAAGCCGCCTCTTTTATGTCATATTGTTTTGTAAACCAGACTCCCTAAGTTGAATACTCTGGGTTATAGGATGATTTAAGCATCCATCTTAGTTGCAAAAGATACTTTTAAAAGCATGTTTAAATTTTATTTTTAATTAGTTTTTAACAGGTTTAACGTGATTTGTAGAAACAGTTCTAGGAACATAAGAATATTCCCTTCCTCCCTCCCTCCCGTCCTCCTTCCTTCTCCCTATCTTTCTGTATTTTTTTCAGTTTTTGAGATAACATTTTAAATTTACATTACAGTAAAAAGGCTTACTACTTCACTAAGTAAAAAGTTAAATGAGTGAAAAGCAAAAAGAGCCTAGTTTAGTGGGAATACAAATAATGTCTATAAACAATAATTGAATGGAAAAATGACAATTTCATCCATATACAGTAAATTTTAAAGTAATCACAGATCATTAACACTATAATAGTGAACCATTCTTAACCACTGGTTTGACAAAGTTATAAAACAAAGTTTTACAATACTATATTTGCAGCAATATTGACACACATCGGGGCCGGCCCTGTGGCTCAGTAAGTTAATTCTTCACCTGCCGTGTGGGCATCCCATTTGGGCGCCAGTTTGAGTCCCAGCTGCTCCTCTTCTGATCCAACTCACTGCTATGGCCTGGGAAAGAAGTAGAAGACGGCCCAGATGCTTGGGCCCCTGCACCCACATGGGAGACCTGGAAGAAGCTCCTGGCTCCTGGCTTCAGATTGGCACAACTCCAGCCATTGCGGCCATTTGGGGAGTGAAGCAGCAGATGGAAGACCTTTCTTTCTGTCTCTCTGTCTCTATCTCTCAAATAATTAAAATCTTTTAAAAATATTGATACACATAGACATTTCTTTTCTATTTTTTAAATTTTAGCTCCCACATATATGGAAGAACATGTGGTATTTGTCTTTCTGGGTTCGGCTTGTTTCATTCAACACGATGTTCTTTAGTTGCAACCATCTTGCTGCAAATAGTAGCACTGTATTCTTTTTTATTATAAATAATATCCCACTGTGTAGAAATGCCTCATAATATTTATTCATTCATCTGATGATGGACACCTTGGTTGATTCCAAATTTTGGCTATTGTGAGTAGTACTGCTATGGTGATACAGGTATCTCTTTGATACAAGGTGTTCAAGTCTTTTGGGTATATAATCCAGTGGTGGGATTCCTGGGTCATATAACAAGTCTATTTCTAGTTTTTGAGGAAATCTCCACATAGTTTTGCACAGTGGCTGCACTAATTTATAGACCCACAAATAGTGTGTAAGTGTTCCCTTTGTCCACATCCTCGCCAGCATTTGTTACTCTCCGTGTTTTGGATTTTAGCCATTCTGACAGGAGTGAGGTGATATCTCATTGGGAATTCGATTTGTATGTCCCCGGTAGGTAGTGATGTTCAGCATTTTTTCATATATTTGTTGGCCATTTGTATTTTTTTTTTGACAGCAGAGTTAGTGAGAGAGAGAGACAGAGAGAAAGGTCTTCCTTTTCCGTTGGTTCACCCCCCAAATGGCTGCTACTGCTGGCGCACTGCGGCCGGTGCGCTGCGCCGATCCGAAGCCAGGTGCTTCCTCCTAGTCTCCCATGCAGGTGCAGGGCCCAAGGACTTGGGCCATCCTCCACTGTACTCCCAGGCCACAGCAGAGAGCTGGCCTGGAAGAGGGGCAACCGGGATAGAACCCGGCACCCTGACCAGGACTAGAACCCGGGGTGCTGGCGCCACAGGTGGAGGAGTAGCCTAGTTAGCCACGGCGCCAGCGGTTTGTTGTTGTTGTTGTTGTTGTTTTTTTTTTTTTTGTTTTTTTTTTTGGGAACTGTGAACTGTGTATTGAAGTATTTTGCCCATTTCTCAGCTGGATTTTTTTTTCTGTTGTTGTTGAATTTTTTAAGGTGCCAATATATTTGAGATATTAATCCTTTGTCAGATAGGTGGTTTGCAAATATCTTCGCCATTCTGTTGGATGTCTCTACTCTACTGATCATTTCGTTTGCTGTGCAAGCCTCTAAGTTTGTTATAATCTAATTTGTTTTGTTTTGCTTTTGTCTGTTCTTTGTCATTCTTGTCATGGGGACACCTAGGGTTAAGTTCTTATAAGAAAGACAGGTCTGAATCCTGGTTTTCTAGCTACTAAAAATATATACTTTTCCAGTTTATTTTGATACTGGAAAAATACATACATTCTGAATATTACTATAACCAAATACCTCATGTGTACCATACCTTGTGCTAAGTTTTATGTACATTATTTAACACTCATAATTAAGAATATTATCTAATGCATATAAAGCATTACGGAATATCCTGGTTAAGAATGTGGTGCTTTGGGGGCCAGCACTGTAGCCTGGTGTGCAAAGCCACCACCTATGATACTGGGATCCCATATGGGTACCAGGTCAAGTCCCAGCTTCTCTGTACTGGCTCCTTGCTTGTGGCATGGGAAAAACAGTGGAATATAGCCCTAACACTTAGACCCCTAACACCTACATGGGAGAACTGGATAAAGCAACTGGCTCCTGGGTTCAGCCCGTCTCAGCCCTGGCCATTGTGGCCACTTGTGGAACAAACCAGTGGGTGGATCATCTCTCTCTCTGTGTCTCCCTCTCTCTCTAACTCTCTCAAATAAATAAATCAAAATATTTTTTAAAAAAGAATTTGGTGTTTTGAGCACAATTTCCTTGTTTCTAATCCTGGTTCCTTCTGCTACATGAACTTGGGAAAATTATTCAATTTCTCCAAGCATTGGTTTATAAATCTATGAAGTGATGATAAGGACACCCCATTTTAAGAGTATATGGATGAAATACAATGGTACATATTCAAATGGTGTTTCATAAATGCAAAGTGCTGAGTAAATGTAATGGATTATTATTTCATAATGAACTCTACTCTCTATCCATGAAAGAGATACTGGATAAAATGTCGACCCTGATTGTTCTTGATTGGTGGAATAAGAGAAACATCAACCTACTGTTAAGAGAACTTTCTTTGTTCACACGGCCAGAGTGATGGCTGACCAGGACACTGGCTACTTCAATATTATTCTGGGCATTTCTGTGAGGGTGTTTTTGAGTGGGATTAATTGACCAGATAAAGCAGATGGCCATCTCTAATGGGGTAGAGTAAGGATTCTACAAACTAGTAGAAAGCCTGAACAGAACAAAAAGGCTGACCTTCTGGTAAGGAAGGGAGAGCCCTTGTGGCCTGAGTGCCTTTGTATTGAGCCTTTGGGTTCTCCTGCCTTCCTGCTCCAAATGCAATGTATGCAATGTCACTTCTTGCCAGGTCTCAAGCCTGCCGGCCTCCAGACTAAAACCACACAGTCACCTTCCCTGGTTCTCAGGCTCATGGATTAGAACTACACCGTTTAAATTTTTTATTTTACTTATTTGTTTTCATTTTACTTGAAAAAGAGAGAAACAGAGAGATAGACACAGAGAGAGTTTCCATCTGCTGGTTCAGAGCCAAAACGACCACAACAGCCAAGACTGGGCCAGGCTGAAACCAGGAACTTTATCAGAATCTCCCACATGGGTGGTACTAGAAGTACTAGAGCCATTATCTGCTGCCTCCCAGAGTATGCATTAGCAGGAAGTGGGATCAGAAGCAGAGGAGAAGGGGCTTGAACCAGGCACCCTGATAAGTGATACAGGGCACCCCAAGTGGCAACTGCTGTGCCAAATGTCCCTTCTGGGACTGAGACTAGAGCTACACTGCTGGCTCTCCTGAGTCTCCAACTTGCTGGCTCACCCTGCAGACCCTGGGACTTGCCTGCTTTCATAATCTTAAGCCAAATCTTTACAATAGACCTCTTTCTTATTGCATTTCTCTGGAGAGCTCTGAGGAGTACACCAGGCAAAGATTTTCTCCCAGTTTTGCCCCCAGGGACTCGTCTGAAATGAAAGCAATAGTACCAGCACCAACGCGTCCCTGGGAGAGACACTTCGCAGTAGGTGATCTGATAAGGAGGTAATCGGGATAAAGGAGCACGAGGTACAAAGTTGGCCATTTGGCCTTCCGGGACCCACCACTCTTAGGGATAGAGGATTTGGTAGTGGTGGCAGCAATCAGGCTGCCAAAGACATGATTTGCTGAGAGAGATCACAGAATAAATAAGGAATAAGAGACATACAGGGACAATGTCCTTTCTGCTGGCTTAACTCTTCTTTCCTTAGCTTCTCAGTATATATTCTACACTGGAGGTACACATGGATGTGATCATGCAACTTGCTTGCCCAAAAACAATGTTTCATTGCTTACAGAATCAATGTCTGTGCCCTTTGTGACCAACTTCATCTCCTAACCCCCCAAGGCTATGTTGCTGACCTCTGACCACATCCTTGGGCTTGCCTGATTCAGTGTTTTTGCTAATAAAGTTGCTAAACCCATCCCAACCCACCCCAATTATCACATTCTCCATGAATGCTTCACTGTTGCTCTAGAATCCGTCAGTACTTCAACAAACTGGCAAAGGACACCAGTGGTCACTAACTTGCTCTCTTCCTTTCTACCATTTCTCAACCCTCTTTTCCCCTAGACTATCTCTGGCCAATGTCAAGTGAGTTGCTGTGGAAAGTGTCACTCCCAGTGTCGGAGGTGTGACAAGGGCTGGTGTCGTGGCATAGCAGATTAAGCCACTGCCTGCAACATTGGC